CCTGCTTTGCCTCTGTATTTTCCCCTCCCACAAAATCCCCAGGTTGCAAAGACGTAAATATATGAAATCCTTGACATTTTCAGAAGTTACTGAAATAGAAGAAATGCATAATCAAGATTATTAAGTCTTGAAAGATGAAATGGTCCAAGACACCGTGCTAAAATGTTGGGCCTGGGAGACACGTCATCTCCTCCATCGTGTTACACCCACCTTCCACGAAAAGACAACTTCCACAGGGTTGCTCTTTGGCTCCTTGGTGACCAGCAGCAGCTGATTGTTTGTACTTCATGTATGCAGTCAAAGGCAGCTGTGAGTCTGCCCTGATTGCTGCCAGTTCACCACCACACAAGGATCAGTGACTTCTTTTTCTGCTGGGAAGGTTTGAAAGCGAATTTGTGGGCTCCATAGGGACTGAAAGAGAACCGACCTGAGGGTGTTTCCCCATCCACAGCTCAAAGGTGGGCATAATTCATCTCATCTGTTTTAGGTCTTAGATCACCGCACCGAGCAATCCTGGGTATTGCCTTTGTGGCTGCTCTGCATGTTCAGAGCAGCGCAGCCCAGCTCATCGGTGCTTTCAGGCACCAGCACTTGGTAAATGGGCAGGCTTGCTCCCTTGCCCCGGTGCAGCAGTGCTCCTGCCCTCATTGGCATCATGAGACCATAAAGCAACCCAGACTACCAGGGGGAAGACTTGCCTTTAAACTGGATGTGGACAAGCAGGATAAAAACCTTTGAAAAGAAAAAGAGCGTGAATTTACCAGCAAAATTTCCTACCATTATTTACACATTATCTTCTGTGTAATTTACTGCTGAGGTGACTTGCCATTCTGCAAACCTATTAATACACTATGCCCACTTCTGCTTGAGAGGGTTGGCTTACCGAAGAAAGTGCTAACACGTTGAATGAAATCATATACCAAGGGATTTCCTTAACAGACATTCAGCTGTGACACACAGGAGATACGGTGGATAAGTCTTATTTGCAGAGGTTAGTGGTAAACAATGTTGCACGAATGTCCGAAGCTTTTTCCAGGTTTATAGTTTCTACTGTCAAATTCTGCAGGGCTTACTTATGTGTGGTAAAACGTTGCCCTCAAGTGGCCGTTTATTCAACTACAGAGCATCTCTCCCCTCTGGGGCAGGCTGCCCGCCTGCCCCGGGTGACGCTGCCTGGGATGCGAGCGCCTGACCCCCACTGCTACTCCTGGTGCCAGTACGTTACTCGAAACAATTTTGATCCCCATTGCTCTGAATCTCCGGAAAGAAGGAAGAGATTGAGGGCATCTAAATTAGCAGCAACTGACCTCTTTGTCAAGAAAAGCCAGACAGATATTTTTCCTCTATAGCTGAGGAGCACAACACACAATTCTAATTCTGCTAAGAGAAAGTGTGTAGGAAACGCCTCACCTTACTGCTGTTGTACGTATGTATTCCCTTACAAACCATAGGGGGCATGATGTTACCGTGGTTTGTTCTTCTAATTTATCAGTTCAGAATGATGCTCTGTTATTGCCATATTCATCAAGCTCTCAAAAGCCCTACACCAACTAAAGAAAGAAACGCTGAAAACTGTATGTTCTACATATTCTGCTTTTTCAAAAGTCCTTGTCAAGACATCCAAAGCATGAGATATACACTGTTTCTTATTATCTGCAACTTAATTTAGATCCATTTACATAATCTGAAATGTGCAGGTCAATCTGTAAAGTGCCAAAAATCTGTTGCTGAGTGAATGTACAAAGAAAGCAAGGGTCTAACCTTTGGGAAGAGATGAGCCCTGGGATCTGCATAGCATGAGAGTAGTTCCCCACTGTTGACTTGAAAAGAAATGCAACTGCAGGCAAGGTGGGAGAGGGCAGGATGGCTCTGCTGCAGCTCTGATCCACCTGTGCCTTCACACAGCGCGTCAGGCACATGCAGGACAACCTGCAATCTGCAGCAGCCAGCCAGATTCTCTTGGCTTTGTCACCCAGTCTCAGCCAGTCTCCGGGTTCCCTGCGACATCGTGTGTAAACACCCACCACACAGCCAGCAAAAGCCCGGGGACTGCCGGTGCGGTTGTGCCCTGGGTGCCACCAAGCAGGAGCCGCTGGGCAGAGTCACACAGTTGTTTCTGCAACTGCAGCGATTTAAAACATCACTATCCCTGTTCACCTGTCATATGGCTGCGTAACTGCCAACATGAGGACAGGTCTGTAAAATGGTGGTTTCCCCAAACCGGTTTTGAGTCTGCATTCCAATTTACTAGCACAGCTCGCACAGGCAGGTGCTGGGTGGCTGCGGAGGGAGGGTTAAAGTGCTAATCGTTACAGCTGCTTCCGAAGCCCAATTTAATAATCTTTGCATGCTTTCTGCAGAAAGAAGGTTTGAGGATCTTGTAAACAGCAGAACTAAAGGCAAGTTCAAAACTGACTCACAGTTTTTGTTTAGGGGAATTATCTTTAAGGCAGCAAGAAGGAAGCCTTTCAAATACAGAATTCACTGTGACTCAGCCAAACTTAGGTTAAAAAGCAGGTACTAATTAGCAACCTTGATGCTGAGTCTAAACTTATTTTAAAATTCAGTCTAACAGGAAAATGTTAATTGAAGAATAGACCCTCATCTTATGTAAATGACTTTACTTAGGTTAAGAAATACAGAAAAAAATAGAATGGGCAGATCTTGTAGATCGCTTTAACAAT